ATGCACACACCTGCTCATTGAGTCCGCACCGCAGCTCTGGGAGAGCGGTGCTGTTATTCTCCAGGAAGGTTCAGGAAGCGTGCCTCCTGGGGAGTGGCGGCATTCTCCCATTTCATCTTACTGAAGCTTTTTTCCCTCCTGGAACAGCAGCTCACAGCCCGTGGAGCCAGTTTCTGTGCCTGGTACTCCAGGAAGCCTGATTTGGGTAGTGATGTAGCGGTACAGAACTGGACTGGGAGCTCTCAGAATAGCACCGCTGATTAGTATCAAGAAAAGGCTGTCACTACCTGATAGAAAGCTCCAGTTTCCTTCCTTCCTCTTGGATTGCCCGCGTCTCTCTGCAGATCCCTTCAGTGACGAGCTCTAGTCTCAGTCCTGCCAGCTCACTGTGTTGGATGAGTAAGGCGCTTCATCTGTCTGCCCCTCTCAGTGGCCACATTTGGAAAAGAAGGAGGTCACACTGCGTGATCTCTAAAGTGTGTCCCAGTCCTCTTATTTGTGACCCTGTAACATTTTTTTTCTTTTTTTTGCTCTGAGCAACCAGATAGAAGAATGTCTACAGAAGGCAGGCTAAGGGCACACTTATATTTTTCCTTAAGAAGAAAAACGGTGGGTGTTTAGAAATACCTCCATGTGGAGATAATGAGGTCCAGCTTGCTTATTACCTTTTCTCAGCCTGGGTTTACCCGATCGAGCTGAGAGCTACGCCCTCCTTTACTATTTAGCATGGTTGCCACAAAGCCATGAGGCTTCTGCAGTGATGCTGAGGGAGGGAGACGGTCACATCCAATCTCTTTAAGCAGGTGACAGGGGTGTGGTCCAGTGGTGGGGGCGGGGCTTGGCTTGGGCTCTCCCTGCGTGGAGTAGCCTTTTTTCATGAAATGAAGTATTGCTACTAAATAAAATTATTAATTTTTTTAAACAGGCGCTTGAATAAAATTGTTTGGAGAGCATTATCTCAAGAAGAAAAAGAAAAGTAAGCCAGTTCCTTCTCATTTTTAAAAAAAAATTGGTGAAATTCATATAACCTACAATTAGCTATTTTAAAGTGTTCAATTCAGTGGCATTTAAGTTATTAAAAATATGCAAACCACCACCTTCCTCTAGTTTCAAAACTTTTTAAAATCACTTCAGAAAACACCTTGTGCCCAGTAAGTAATTCTTCCCTGTTCCTCTCTCCCCCTCTGGTAACTGCCGGTCTGTCTTCTGTCTTCGTGAATTGGCCTCGTCTGGATATAACATATGGAAGGAGTCATACATCACGCGCCCTTTTGTGTCTGGCTTCTTTTACTTAGTTAACGTAAAAACTTAATGTTTTCAAGGTTCATCCAAGTTGTGGCATATAAAGTATTTCCTTCTCCTTTCAGTATCTGTTGTATGTATATATCAGTTTGTTTTTCCATTACCCTTTTCTCCCTCATTTCCCTTTGACACTCTCATAAGACGTATGTTGGTAAGCTTGACAGAATCCCACGTGTCCCTTAGACTCTATTCTTCATTCGTGTATTCTTTCTGCTCTTCGGACTTTGTAATCTCATTTGATCTATCTGTGAGTTTGCTGATTCTACAGCCTGCTCACATCTACTGTTAAAACCATCTAATGAATTTTTCATTTCAGCTATTGTGAC